ATAGGGTTTTTAAATCCCCAATTTTAACTGCTTAATAGCGTTTAAAATTCATCCTTCTTGCTCACATGAAAATTAAGTAGTATTTTTTCTCTTTATTTAACACTATTATCTATTTTACTGAACTTGCTCAATTGATAAATTTTCTATAGCATGTAAGCCTCTGATTTGTGTGGTTTTAAATTTCTTCCTTCTCCATTTGAACCAACACACAAAGGAACATGCCACCATGAAAAAAATATATATCTAAAACCCTCAACACGGCCAACTAGAAATTTTTATCCCTACGTTTTCACAGTATCAGCATATCCTCACTATACTAAAAGTGCGCATTGGAGTTGTTACAGTACTCATGGACCGGTTATCCGGTAATTTTGAGCAACTTCGGTGGCGTTTTCATAGGCAGATAGACTGGTTATGCTGTAAATTTTGACAATTCTAGTGGCATTTCATAGGCATTTGTTTAGGCTTGCCCTCTTGCTCCAGAGTTCAGACGCTAGAATTCTTTCCTCTCTCCCTCCAGTGGCATTTTTTAGGAAGCATATATGTGTCATATATATAAAGCTTAATGCCCTTTACGGTGTTGCATTGTTAGTTCTTTCTTCTTCTTTTTATTTTTTTTTTTGCCTTTATTATAAAGGATAAAATGGATTTATTCTGTAACAAAATAATAAAATAACAATTTTACTATAACTTCGAATCTTCCCATATTTCTACATTCAATTTCTCCATGTTTATCTACTATATTTGACACACATTTCTTCACTTTTTCTTTATTAACATCACCCAAATTAAACCCATGCACTTGTTTCCCCTATAATACTTCACTTTTATAAGAGAATTATTATTACAAATATTTTTATTCTAATTAGTTATGTAAACATCTAAGTGTGCCTTAATCAGTATTATGTATAACAAGAAAAGATTTATTGAACATGTTTGAACTAATTCTTGATAAGAAATTTCAGAAAAGTAATGTACTACCTAACCTCTAGTTTTAGATACTTTTATTCATATTTTCTTCATTCAGAGTTTTAGCTCTCTTGTCTATGTAATCTTGAGAGAAAGCCATCTGAAAAGCAACATATTGAATGTGTTTCTTTCTCCAATTGAAGACCTGGATTTGGCGATTTTACAAGGTGAAGTCTTCACACTCTCACCTAACCGGTCTTGTTTAAACTTATTTCATTCTTGATTAGATACAAATAGTATGTGCATAATTTTAAAAGTGATCAGCGTCACCATATTTATCATATTTGTATGTACTTGTACATTTTAAATGAATGCATCATTTATTTATAGTATCAAGAATTCGCAAAGATCTTAAGCCAAAAACTGACTATCTAAGAGAAAATTACAAATCAAATGAGTAAATGAGTAACAGCAATATTCAATTTACCTAAAGTCAAATTCTCCACATTTATTAATACCTATCATGTATTAAATATATAACCAATTTACATTAATCCACTTGCCTTCATTTGATCTTGATTAACATAGGCTCAGGGCATCCTCACGCATCGCGTGAGGCTGAAAAAACTAGTGTAAATAAATACCATAAAGGTCTGTGGCCAAGTCACCATAGTATTGGCATCTAGAAGCTAAATATTCACTTTGCAAGTAGTAACAAATACAAGATAAATATTCAATAACAACTTATCAAAACCGGCCAAGGAAGAATTGTTAGTCTTTCCCGTTATTATGTTCAGAGTTTGAATCCTATATAAAATAGTTGGAGGTAGAAAAAGTGTGAAAAAGGGTAGGAACGTTAAAAAAAAAATACCAGAACCACTGGTGCCTTAAGAATCATTAGAGTAACTCTTAATTAAGCATCAAATATTATACCTGTCATCATTGACAATTAGAGTGATAAATTACACGTCACTTGTTCTCTTCTATTGAGAATTGTTATCCATTTACTCATAAGTATATAGCTTGCCCACACAGTCAAGAAAGGAATCAAATATGATTACATAACAAAAAATAGAAATTTTTAATTCCTATGAACATACCTTACTTTGATTAAAATCCAGCGTTCAACATGACAAAAAAGAATAATCCTCATAATGTTTAGGGTAAATACGTGAGACCCCATTGTGGTTTGTGTTAAAGTTAGCCCAAACCTCCGTGGTTCGGACATTTCTACAAGTGCCGTTTATGATTCCTAACTGATGAATAGAAAATGGATGGAAACCATCCAAATCAACAAAGAGTGTAGTCCACTTGCCTTCTATTCAAGTGTCAATTATCAAACACGATTTTTTTTCATAAAATAGTCAACTTTTTTCCAAGAGTATCCTTATTTTATTTTTCGAAAAAATCACTCAAATTGTTCCTCACATTTCGCTTCACTCTAAAATATTAACTTTACATCCCTTACAAATTCAAGTTAACAAATTTTGGTCCAAAACTAAATTTCTAACCATTTCTTAGCCTAAAATCTCCATGTGACCCACATGCAGTCATATTTTGTGTACAAAAATGTTAGATTTCATTTTTTTTAGTAATAAAAATGCTTATGAATTGGGTCCAATTACTCCTTTTTAGAGAAAAAAATTAATATAGTTTAGATCAAAATTTGCCTTTTTCAGGGTAAAAATGAACATGGATTCATTTAACTATAAATAGTATCTAATCTTTTTATCTTAGAAAAATAACGATGTATGATTTACGTGACAAATTCAAGATAAATAATGGTCAAAAACATAGATTGTAACCAAATTTTATCAACTTGAGTTTGCAAATGACGTAAATTTAATATTTTAGAAATGAATGACAAAAAGATTCATTTTGTGGAATATGACAGATATTTTAAATAATTTTTTCTTTTTGTTTAATTTATCTACTGTATCACTTCTCCTTGTCTTTTTCCAATCGTTTCCTTTTTTTTTCTATTTCATTTTTTACAGTATTTTCCCCTTTCCTTTCTCTCTTGCATGTCCTCCTAATTTGCTCCTTCCTCTCTTCTTTAGATCTTTTCTTCTATTTGGCTTCTTCCTTTCTTCTTTTTTCCACTTTCTTTCTTCTATTTGTCCACCAAATTTGAACCCATCTCTCTCTCTCTCTCTCTCTCTCTCTCTCTCTCTCTCTCTCTCTCTCTCAGCTTTTTCTTATGCTGAAATAAGATTCTTCCTCCAAATCGTGAAGGGTTTCATCGTCATTGTCCTCATTGTTGCTTTGGCATCACTGTAGCTGCCGAAAGAAAGCAAAATAAATAAATAAAAAGTAGGCGTTGATTTGCTTGGATTCATGTTCATCCACCCTTTCCCTTATTAAATTGGTGATATAATGTTGTTCCAAGGGTCCTAAGGATTGTTTTAGTAAATTTTCTACATGGAATTTTGGTAGACAAAAAGAGATAGACCCATTTGGTTTTGTAGGAGGATCGCATTTATTCAACCATTTTTTTAACTTAACTTTGAAATCGTGATGTGCACGAAATTAAAGTTTTTAATGATATTTCTACAAAATTTTACCACTAGTTGATGGTGGCTAGTGGTTGATATTGGGAGCCGTGAAGATTTGTGAATCTACCAATGGCGCTTGAACGTTTTGACCAGAAAATGAGGAAGGAGGAAAAGAAAAGGTAGAAAAGAAAAAAGAGAGAGGATGAATAAAATGAAAAAGTAAAGAAAAGGAAAAATGTTAATAAGAAGAAGGGCAATAAATATGTTTCAAATCTTTATGTCGGTTTGAATGATATTCATCTATTTTTCATATCAATATTATAAGGTGGTCTTATGATTTTTTTTGAACTATAGAAGATTGGAATAAATTTTGCTCAAATCACAAGGAAATTTGTTTGTATTTTACACCTAAAATTTACCTTTTCTAATGAAAAAGTTTGATTCTGTAGATAATTTATATTGACCGTTTTTTAATGCAGGTGTTAAATCAAATTTCCTTTTTTTATTAGCAGGCCATATAGATTTGGAATTATTACTCCCTTGTACTAAAAGACACGGGCAATTGGAAGACTTGGATACTTAGGATTTTATTCCAACTATTTAGTTTCCATTAGTTTCCTTTTTACCCAAACAAAGTGATCCAATTAGAGAAGGTTTAGATATTGAAGATTCCAAGTTATTCATATGAAATTCGTCACATAATCCAAATCCTCCCTCTAATCTTAGCCCCAGAGTAATTGGAAATAAGTGACCCATTTTTCCTTGCACAAAAATCTAGTTGTTTAGTTACATAATTTATGTGCCCCTTTTACCATCAATTAAATACCAATAAAAGTTTTGATAAGTTCTTCTCGAAAAAAAATTGCCAAAAGAAAAGAGCAATTCAAGAAGGAAATTAGCGTTGCTGATGCAGAGGATGAGCCGAACACAAACCGAGGATATCAGAGAGTCCGCTACATAAATTCACACCAGCTCAGCCAAAGCTTGAAAAACTTTTGGTTGTCAATGAACTTTTCAAGCTTGGGTCTATAAGCATAAATTTATTTTTACCAGGAGAGTAATCAAGTGGTGCAGCACATTGAGCTCACCTTGACAGAAGCTTATATTAGTTTGATGAGTTCATCAAGCAAATGAAAGTTCAAACACAACTTCAGACTAAAAAACTAAACCAAGCTTGAACCACATCTCACCAACAATCTCAGTACACAATGATGCAAAGACGATTCCACATATGGATGTCAGAATGGGATCGAGCGTTTTCACATCTCACCGTAGCGTCCAGTTTATTTTGATTTCCGTGAAACTCTTCCTATGTTACTTGCCCCCAGCTACATGTCCTTTGGACCCTTCACCCACCCACCCGCCCGCCACCAATGGAAGCAAAGCTAGCCCCCTATGTTGGTTGGGGGAAGAGGGCATTTCCTTCGTGAAGGATTCAATCAAGCCACAGGTTCCCCTACCACAAACCTTGTTATGACCTCACCCCAGTTGAAGACCCCTACCGTGGTATGTACCAATAAAACCACCAATAGCCTTTATGGCACTAGCGTGACACAAAGCCTACTTCAACAGAAAAAAGAAGGCAGAAGCAATGAATAATTCTACAAAATGCTACTTTACATATAAGCTAATAATACACAAAGTACCTAGTAACATTTGGCTCATATGCAGATGGAGTGACAGAAAGGAAAAAAAATCAAAGAAAAAGGAAGATTCCTGGGTAAGCTGGTATACCAAAGGAAAGTAAAAGTAAAGATAGTTGTTCCTAGTGTTTAACAATACTGTCCTATTAATATACAAAAAGAGGTCTAATCTTTCCACAATGACTGCTCACTGCCGGGGTACAGGTGGAGTTGCTGACTGATGACCTTGGGCATAGAATCCAATACCTGGAGGCCGATAATATCCACCAGCAGCTGCCTGCTGCTGCTGCTGAGACTGCTGGTTCTGAAGCTGCTGAGGAGGTGGTTGCTGAGTTGGTAAAGGAGCTGGCCTAGCAAATCCCATTGGCATATGTGGAGGCAAAGGTGGAGGTGGAAGGTTGCTTGAACCATATCCATAGGGAACCCCTATCATCATTGCAGCAGATTGGCCTAACTGAGTTGCAGAAGAATTTCCAGGTGTTACAGATTGGGGCGGTGGCGGCGGCAGCGGTGGTGGTTGCGGGAATGTTGCCTGAAGTTGGTTTCCCTGGGACATAAGCTGCATCCCATTGGCTGCACCAACTGGCATGTTACTTACTGTCTGCTGTGCAGAAGCAAAGAATGCAGCATGACTGCCATCAGAATGATTCACCTCAGAAAAACGCACAGGATTCTCTACCTTTGGCCTTTTCTCTGGGGATCCAAAAGGTAAACTAGAAGAGAATCCAGTTGAAGTTAAACCATTACTCATAGAGGCAACCTCTTCTGCAACAAGGGATGAAAGAACAGAAGTAAGCATCTGTGCAGAGGATGTGGAAGCAGCAAGTTTTGCCACGACAGCAGCTGCTGCTGCCTTCTTATTCTCCTCTTCATTGAGTTTTGAAGAATTAAAAGTTATAGGAGGGGTTGGCGGAAGGATAGGCGTGCTTGATAACTGGGTCAAAGGCAAGCTTGCTTCAGCAACCCTTGCAGCCTCCATAAGTTGGCTACCAGCATTAGATTGGGGAGCCAGATAAGATGATGATACCAGCTTCTGCTTTACACATAAAGTTTGCTCTATCTGACTGCGGGCCACCTGTATGTGAAATACAACTGTCACTAGGAATACCAAAAATGAACAGCCAATTTTTTGTTGAATATTGCATGATAACTAAACTATATCACTTAACAGAACATGTTACCTCCATTCAACAAAAACATGTTATACCACTCAGCTGAATAGAAGTTTTGAGCAGCACAGGAGGTGTCAGCCAAAATGTAACCTAGGGAATGCTCTAAAATATAGGCAATGAGCATTTTAGTAATTTTCAATTTTTCTTTAATATGAGCACTATCATACACACAACATGATGAATTGTCAACCATATGTACATTTTCTGTTAAACTTGCAGATGTGAAGGGTCAGTTTAGATTAAAAAATAAAAAAGAAAAAACGACGGCAGTGAACAACCATAATACATGTACCTGCCCCCACCGATCCAATTCTTCCCAATATTGACTTGTAAATACTCATTATAGGTGTGTAGGTTACGAGAACTTTAATGTTCTAAACATTTTTCAAATATAAATCTTATAGAAAAAATAGTAGTTAACCAACAAAACCACCACCCAATCAAATAGATGACGCACTCCCAATTTAAACCTAGAAACCATGTCACAGCAACTAGAGAAATTTGACGATCAGTAGCTTAACAAAAACGAGACAAATATAAAAGAGCAATTCACAAACTTAAAAAGTGGAACATCACTATTTAGCTAGCGCAGAACATCGAAGTAATTCATCTAACCCACTACCCTTTTTTTCGGGGAGGGGGGAAGGGGGGGGGGGGGTTGGGGTCATAAGGTAATGTTAAATCCCATTTACCAGATTATAACATTTCATCCACACCCCTCTTCCTCTTTTATTTTTCTGAAATTCAGTTTATTGACTCGTACAGAAGACAAGCTTGATTCACAAATATGTAGAAAAAAAATTCTGGACCACCCAAAAAAATATTAATTCCTCCTTTAAGAGACACCCCAACAACATGATGCAGCCATTAGTTGGATTTAGAGATAAAAACAGATTTGCCGAATATAGGAGAAAATATTGGTTGTCAAGAGTATAATTAAATAAACTGATTTTCAGATAGGAGAATAAAGGAAGACCTAGTAACAAAACCCAGCTTAGGAAGTAACAGGGAGTCTTACCTCCAATTCATTGTGTATCAGCTCCAGCTTTGATTCCTGAAAAGCAACAAGCAGTCAGGAAATATAACACTCCAGAAATGACACTAGACAACTATAAAAGGCATACTTGATCTTGAAGTGCTTCATTAAGCTGTGAAACCAATGCAAGCCTAGTAGTTTCAAAATTTTCTAGTTGAGTAACACAATGCCTAAGGGCATTCTCGTGTTCTTGCATCTTTTCTACCAACTCTGAACCTTGCAGGCTTCCTGTCCAATACAGAAGAACAGATGCAAGATAGTCAAATTTTATCAACAGTGAACAAGTTGCCAGTTGATTGGTACATCTATTCCTAATTTCTATTCATAACCTGATACACACTTTGCAGATATATGTAATTTAGAGCTATAATGGTTAAGCTACAATACTTTAAGATGCAAAAAAAGATCCTCTGTACAATCTAGACTAGATTTCACATTTCACACAATGCAATAGCTATCAACTGGCTCAGCAACATCTTGCAAGTCATTCAAAGCCCAAAACAGAAGCTTAATGACAAGCATGAAACTCTATTTTGTGTAGAGGGATCGACCTTGATGATTAAAAGAGTACCCTAGTGGTTATTTCATTTTCATATGCTAGTCAAGTTTAGATTTTGATACTTTGAATCACCAACAACACCATTAAAAATCCACTCGGGTCATGTACGAACATGTTTACTACTTTAGAATGTTATGAAATTTAATGGAATTTATGTTGAGATATTTATATGCCAAAACAAAATATGGTAGGATAAATATGGCAGAAATCTTCTAGTTTTCTCTACCTGCTGACAACACATGCTTTGCTAAAGTTCATCTATGCTTACAGTTTCAAGCCCATAATTAAGTTCAAATCAGCCCCTAACACTATTAGGATGAGTTCTCAGCTGCTACAGCAGTATGTTAGCTTCACCCCAGCCTAATGACAGTAGAATAACTGATATTTTCCTTAGGATTTCTGGCTAATTTGCTCCCCATTTGTATTTTACATGAAGATCTGTAATTCATTATATTTAATGCCAACATGTCAAAGTCCGGATCCACTATGAATCAATTTGCAAACTTGCACCTCCCACATCAGAAACCGAATAATAAAAATATCAGCTATGAACATTCCAAGTGGAAAGAAATTCTGAGATTTTGTTTTGACTTGTGGCATAGCATACTTAATAGATGATGAAAAAGAATAGGCACAAAAGGTAGAGAGTGAACGTTAACAAAATTCCAACTTATGAATTTTCTTGTTCTTCAATGAGCAAAGAGGATTGTCAAATCAGTCAGAAGCTATGTCCATGTAATTTAGCTGCTTAGACAAAGCCCCTCAAAGGGACTCAGGTAATCCACAAATGTAAGTTAGCTGCTTAGACAAAATGCCTTCAACACCTGAGCTGTGACCTCCTCCTCCTCCCCCTCCCCCCCCCCCCCCCCCCCAAAAAAAAAAAAACACAGTTTCTTTTCTAGTATTTTCAACATCAGAGAGGTGCACCTTCTTGCATCTTTTTTCTTTCCTTCTATAGGAAATCTAGCATAAGAAATCTTTGACTGTCACTCACACAAATGTTGTCCATGATATCATGTAATCACATGTTCTAAACAATCCAAAAACCCCCAACTCCAAAATCTACAGCAGTTGATCAGTGGACTGCCACTGAATCTAGCACTGATCGCAAATTCAGATTCCTTCCATCACTATCAAACATCTCTTTCAAACATGGGATGCCACAATCCAGTCACTTCTCCTATACCATCATATCAGGAATTCTTATCCTGGATATCCTGTGATACTGAAACTCTGCTAAACACTGTCCCATAATCCAAACGGCAAGTTCATTCAATTCCTTCATCTTGCATGACATACTTTATCTGCACTGCGACACCTAGATTCCACTGATGGATTTGTAAACCTGACTTCTCATTCTTCATACTTCATACTTAAAACTAGAAATGACTTCTGACTTCCTCCCTGAAGGAACCTGACAAACCATTTCTTGGTGAAGTCTTGGTTGATAACTACAACATTCTCTAACCCATAATCCTCCATGATTCTAAGCACTGGTACTTGCTAATTGATAATCAAATGTTACTTGCAACTACCATTTGGTTCTTCACAAATGCAAGCTCTTCAGCTTCTGATTCTTTTTTAGCCACAGTTCCAGGGGTCCCGAACATGTAAAAAATGAGTAAAAGAGGTAAAAGTAAAAATAAAAAAGGAAGGCAACCTTGATCACACTAATCCAACTTCCCCTTTATCTAATCTTTTTCCAGAAAGTTAAGCTTCATAGAGAGAAAAGATAATCATTATACAATCGGAATTGGATTATGAAGTATATCCAGAAAAACCAGGAGATGAGGGGCGCGATAATCACCAAAAGAAGCAAACTGGCCAAACAAAAGTAAAGGCCAAGTTTTCGTGCCCATACAAAGCACCACATAGCCATCCACAGTAGTATGACAGCTAAATTGCTAGCGCAGCTAAAGCTTCAAAGTGTACCTGTTCTTGTCACAGAGATGATCAGAAGCAGTGTTTGGTAACCTCCTAACAACTTCAGTTATTTGGTCAAAAACCTACCAGTGTTTTTTTTTTTTTTTTTGGAGAAGTTAATGATATGTTTAAGATGCACCAAGAGGGTACAGCTAAAGATAAACTAGTAATCTTCTTACACAGTTATGAGCCCCATCTAAAACAAAAGGTATACTATAAGCTGAGTAGTCCAAAGGTAAGGGCCAGAGTTGACATTTTCGTTGTTCCTAATTTTGATGGCCTCCATAGAAAAATGTATTTTACCTCTCTCCTTGGTTTCCAAAAGATACACAATGGGAACATACACGTGGAAATTCACAAGGCACGCATTTACTTTCAGCTCTTTCAGGTGTAACTCCAACTAGCAAGATTTTCTTAACCATGCCAGAAGCACACCAAGCAAATATTTCCGTTGCTTGATAAGGGAAAGGTACGCATTACAATACCTGTGTAACCTAACTACCATAATTATATTCAATACACACTAGATCAGTTTTTTACCAGAAACCAGAAGGGAAAAGTATAATTGAAATCTTGCAGAATCGCAACCAAACAAGAGAGCAGTCTGAAAACTCGTAACACCACGTACCCACTTTCTAGATTGTGCATGAAACTCAAATCCTCAACATGTACTTAATCAACCCTCTGAGTGCACTCAGAAAAGTCAAATTACTACAAAACTAGAACAAAAAAATTGAATGTCAAAAACTGATAAACACAACTCAATTGGTGTCACACTGAGTAAACAGTGATGCATGACCAATCACTCCCAGAAGGCTTCCTCTTCCTATGTAGGCATCCAAAAGGATGTAACCATAAAAAATTTAACTGATTCACAGTCAGGACTAAATGAATTTCCAAAAAAATATTCAACTCATTAACAATATAAGTGTTTCTTGGAATATGATGGATTTGGACCTTGGATGATCCAATCATTGCATGTGCCCAATTGACTTGAGCTTAGCATATGCCAAACAAATTTTGGGCCCTAACGTTGTTTGGCCTTTACGGCTTCAAATAAGTGTAGTTCACAAATTTGGCACTTGTTCTCATTGCTGCTGAAAAAGCTGCAAGGATGCCTTTGTCGTTCCCCTTATGATGGTGGAATAACTATCAACTTCATTATTGTGGTAAAAGGTAATACTGGCAAGAGGGGGGAGAGAGGAAGAGAGAGTGGGAGAGAGACAACGGAATCCTTTGGTAGGTCAGTTTCATTTAGCCACATTAAACGACTGAGGGAAGCTGGTCTGTGACAAGCACATCTGTTGTAGTGTTGTCATAGTGCTGTGTCAAATCGAGAATTTTCAACAACTGAAGGTAACTAAGAACAACATTAAACAGGCAAGGAAGTTGGTCAACAGGCTCAAGTAAAAGAGCTTACAAAAAATTAGATACTTTACCGGTTCAAACTGTAGGAAGATCAGGAAAAGTTTAAACCATTTCCCACAGGATTATCAAATAGCAATGCAGAGGCCAGAAGCCTGACTATGTGCATTATAGGAATTGTTCAAAGATCACCAATAAGTTCCTTTCTGTAACCCTAAGGAACATGATGTTCTACCAACTTTTCTGGGCCTAGATTTTTTCAATTGTACCTTCAAATAATTTGTAGATGTAGGGTATCATTTCTCCATTTTACCACTTGAGACTCAAGGGGTTCACTCGTTCCATATTGAGTCTTCCACAATTCCCAGAACCCATTCAAGTTCCCATACACATAGAACTTTTACTTTAAAATACATTCCAAAAACTTCTTTATAAGATTTACATGACCAACATACAACTCTGTGCCCATACAAACCTTACTAGTGTAAGAATAGAAACCCAAATAGGAACTATAACACTACATTATAAAATAATGTTGAGATCGATTCTAAAAACCAGTTACTCTAGGATTAAAGTTTAAATGAGTATAATGGAATAAAATTGTCCTCAATTTAAAAGTGTTACAAGTACTTACCATGTAACAAGATGTAATCAAACTTGGACATTATAAAATGAGAACAAATGAACAATATTCCAACTATTCAACCTAATCATCATTTTGTCAAATATATTACTAACAAGCTATTAGTTCCTCAAAATATAATACAACACAGTAATGGCATGTCATTAACTTAACCTACAGGAAGTAATTCTTTATCACCAGTTTTGCGTCCAGACAGATACACTACTCCAACCTGTTTAATTAGCAACATTATCCGAATAATTAAGTTTGACGATTTTGGAATGGTGGATTTTATGGATTTTCATGCAGTTTCACTTATAAATTTGATGTATTCTTAAATTCTAAAATAATAATTCTAGTGCCATGTCTTCTTAGAATTCCAGGATTCAAAGGAGATTTATATTATTGCAGCAAATGCTGAATAGATAGTCCTACAGGCACATAAAGTCACATGACACAGCACAATAGCTTGGAGGCCAGATAGGCCTAGGGCTTTAAAACTCGCAGTCAATAGCAAAATTATAGGCAAATAGCAGGTACCAAAATTCACTAAAAGTCAGATCAAAGAACTTGGAAAAAAACAGAGAAAACATGCAAATAAGAGTGAATCAAATTAGGACAATCAAGAAATCACTCCTGGAAACACCCAAGGCTACATTGCATCAGACAATCTCAATAAGACAAAAGTCTGTAGGGATCTTATTAACAAAGGAAATCTGTGATCCCTTTGTGGAGAAGTACAACAGTTTTAGATTCCTAAAACAAATTCAACTCCAACTCTATTTAAGACTCTCAACTAGAATAGACTAGGAAGAAAACTTCCTTGTTGACCCTAAGACTGACAACTAAAATGAGTAATTACCAAATAGAAAACTAAGAAAAAATCAAAAATTACCAAAATGTAAGCATTCCTGTGAGAAGCAAAATTACTAAAATACCCCCAAATACCAAACCAGAGAATCTGAAGAACAATAGACCACTAATGACTGACTCAAACTGACTATAAAGCCTCTTTAAGACTCAAACTAAATTATAGACAATAGCCCCTTTGAAGGTGTGCCTATTTTAAGCTTGAGCAAAATTCTGTAAATCCTTGACTTCGGATTTCCTTCAGCCATTTATTGTCTGCATCATCATGTTAGCCAGGGAAGAGTTACGGAGTCAAGAAAAACTTTTAAGCGTTGAAATCCAACCATCCAGCCAGTTATTTGCTGATCTGGTATCCTACTTCGGAAATGGATATCCACTTGTTCAGATATCTGTTCGAGAGTATTGGATATGCCAGATATCTGGTTCAAAAGTAAAGAAGAATACATTTTCCGAGAAATGAAATAAAAATGATACCCGAGAGATGCAAGCGTGGATGCACTAACTAAATTAAACCATTGGCTCAGTTCTCTCATCTTCTCCTGTTTTTTCCCCTTTCTGAATCTTTCCTCGTTCGTAATTCTTATTACTTCACACCTGTAAAACAACATCTAAAACATACTGCCAATAACACCATAAACCACTAACTGTATCAATATAGGCACTCCCCTATTCGATAACAATATGCATCACTCAACCATCTAAAAAAGTGATCCTATTTTCTTGTTATTCTTGTGTCAATCTTTAAGAAGAGTACAAAGCTCTAAATGACTAATCTGCTCTGCTTTCCTAAGCTGATTAGTGAAAGTTTTGTAGGCAAAAATGAAAGCATGGATTGGTTAAAAAGCGGTTTTAAAAGCAACCCAGTTCTACATCTCAAATCAGCTTATTTCAACTTAAACTAAGAAAAATGCTGAAGCCAATATCAGTTGAAAACATCTTAAAATAGCCGGTAACTTAACGAGCATATGATCAGCTGATTAAAAGCATAAGAGAATGAGCTGATTAAAAGCCATAACTTGGGTGTAGGACACAGTTTTTTCTCACGTAGCTTCTTCCTGGCTGCAAGGAGAGTTTGACTTGGGCTAGGCCATGTGTCAGGTGAATAAGGAGGTACTGAAGAAACAGATGATTAGTGAGTCTGTTTGGATAGGAGGTTATTTGAAATATTTATTTGAAATAATTACTGTAGCACTTTTTGTGATGTGATATATGTGAGATAAAAAGGTAGTTGGAAATTGTGTTTATGATGTAAGCAGAACAAATTTTGAATTTTTTTTTTTTTTTTTGCAAATTTTGATAACCAAACATACCCAGTGGCATTCTAGATGCAGGATAACAGGAGTTATGATCCGCGCCCAACCTGCTGCTCCTATATGATCCACCACCCCCATTGTTAAAATCTGCTGGATCGAATTTTCAAAAAGGCTGATAAGATTCAACGAATATAAACTATTTCAGATAATTTTGCACACCCTTTTAGCTTTCTTATTGTTAAGCTTTCTAAGCTGTAAAGTTTTCTGTCCTATAAATCAGTTAGCTTATAAGTCTTAATACACGTCAGTTGTGACATATTCATTGGGAAAGGAAGGAAACAATGTTAAAGTTTGTGATGTTTTGTTGTGCTTTAAATATTAAAAGCTACCTTTACCTCAGGAGTTCATCTATATTTTGTTATCCTTAAGCTTTCTATGCTGTAAAGTTTGCTCAGTCCTCTCCATAACTTAGCTTATAATTTACAATACACAATCAATCATATCACGTTCAATGGGAATGGAACAATCAATCTTACGTCTATGATATTTTGTTGTACGTTTTAGTATTAAAAGCTACCTAACCTTAGGAGTCAATACTAAGAAACTAGAGGCGGGATTAATTTAAATGATGGAGGACCCACAAAACTAGTCTCAAGTAGATAGAAACACCTTTCTGTAATGAAGACTACGCTTGGGCTTAAATGACATCACATTAAACTAACAAAAAGGGTCTACTTTACCACTCTAAAAGTGCATTAAAATGCTCTCCACGTCACAAATAAATGATGTCCTCCCACACCTGCTCTCCAGCTCTTTCCACTTTTATGCAAATTAACTGATTACTTTTCTCTAGCTTCGCCCTAGACAAACTCATTTTCAACAAAATTATGTAGCTTGCGCATGTATTCACCTCCTCTGGTCAGGGGACTGATTGATGCAGAACGAATTTAACTCCTAAAAAACATCTCCATCAGTTACCAGCAGAAGATTAATGAAGCTAGTTGCTGATTTGGTGCTATCAAACACCCTAAACATTGACAGAGAAGGTAAAAAAAATAGAAGCAGAACTTGGGTAGCCTAGGAACCCAACCTATATCAGCACAAGAAAGATCTAGCAAGACAAGCTAGCAAATCTAGAAATACAGAAACAACCATCACCAAGCTCAACATACTTCCATCCCACTCACACCAAGATTTCTCAAGGACCAAGCAAACTTCATAGGTAAACAAAACTAAAAGCTAAAATGATAGGCAACAAAAGTTTAACTTGGAAACATAAAGTTTGACAACAAGAATTTGCAGCCGTAGGACATACCAAACCAGGAGTTTTAGTTGGACTAGGAAGCTTAAATTTGATCCCATGTGCTTAAAGCTGCAAACTTTCTCAATTTGCCAAGTTGCATAGACACCGTTCAACCCTTATATCCAGTAAAAACTTAATAAGAGGAATACCGAAGTTCTGCCCACAAAATATCTTCACTGAAGGAGAAAAAAGCCAATCAATGGATGAAAATCAATGATTGTTTAGTACCCAATTGCCAAATTCATCAAGTTTTTTTCTTATTGGATAGCCCGTAAGTAGATGAAAGTCCACAAAGGGGATTAGTTGCGTTTTAAGAAAATTAGAAACATAATGTGGGAAGAATATTTTGTATCTTTTGTTAAAGGAAAATGTCATATCATTTTTAGACACTTGAGTATCTTAAGCAGATTTACATCAAAGGAAACAGCAAAAAAGTGTATAGATATGGGCAAAGTACCCTTTGATGGTCACTGGATATGGATTGCAAAAGCCCAAGAGTGGATGGATGTGGATGTAATGCCAGGAGGTGGGGGAAAAAAACAATTCCAAAAGTATGCATTTGCCCTTAATTTTTTAGAAAGAAGGATTACGTATCCATTTCACCATTAAATAAATTTAGGGATGACTCCTAAGCAATCCATTTCATCATATGTAATGATTCTGGCAGCACGACTAACCACTAAATGAAAGATAAACAGGTGGGCAGTAATAAAGACCATCTAATGAATGAATGGAATATTTATCTCCAGAACTTTCAATTCAATTCATCAGATAATGCTTTACACCACTAAACCAGCCAACACCACCTACAAAATCAAAATCCTACACTCTCTTCATACTTTTCAGATGCATCCACCAAGAAGAACCAAAATTTTACTCATGAATAATGCCAAAATGAATATTTCAAGCAATAGTCTCAAAGACATACTTCTCCCACTTAATTTTTCAGTCTATTAGAAACTGGTTTCAAGTCTGGTTTCACATCTTACCCGCATGTGAAGAGCTTTCAATGTCTTTTCCAAGTTCTTTAAACCAGGAAACAGCACTTTTGGACTTGCTAAAAGCAGCTTCTTCATTGACACTTTCTTCATGGACCAAATGGAATGCGGATATTATCCTTTCTGGCAAACCCCCAACAGCCAGTTTCTGATGTTTCAAGAAAAGAGACGACAATTATCAAAATAAACATCACTGTCATCAGAGAGTTTGCAATATAAGCAAAACTAAAGCAAGCAACAACATGGACTTAAGACTTACAATTCTTAATGATTGAGCATCTCTCTTCACGACTCTGATAGGGTTTGAGCTCTTTCCATTGCTGGCAGTTGCGGGAGTAGGATTCTTTCCCAGTATTTCATCTTTAAGACTCTGACCTCTAGATCCAAAAACTTTTCTTTCTTCCCAAATGTCAACCTAGTGTAAGGAGCATATCCAATCAACCCTCAAAGACAGGGAAACAAATACATGGGGATGAAGCAGAGCAGCAAAAATCCAAAAGCAGCATGAGTAAAATGTGCATAGTAGCAGAGTCATCGCTACTTATCAGACAGTATTAATATTAATCTCATGCAGTTTTCTCCAATGAAATGCTAAAAGTTAAAATGGAAAAGATAAACAGACTAATGGAGCAGGCCACATTGTAATCCTCCATATTAGTTGCCTGTAATTGAGAGCAAAGAATTTTCTTAGATTACGATTACAGCAACAAATAAGATGCTAGGCAAATGTTTCCCAAAGTAAACCCAAAGTCTACAGTACCAGATGGTTTATCACCACAGTTCAACTTGAAAGTACATTCTCATCCATCATTGAACATAGAAGCAAGAAACAAGTTAATGTGTTTCCATTGTCCTTGAAGTAAAGAAGTGAATCATCTCAGCAAATCTTTCTCAGTGAAATCATGTTTTTGGTACAAAACCAAATAAATGAACTTTCTACTACAAACATGATTTTAGTACAGAACATACTTAAGCGGGACTTGACAAGTTAATACATCACTTGCACGTTTGAGCCATCTACTTCAAGCTTACGATATATGACAATCAAAGTTGAGATGCAGAGCTTTATTCAAATTACAGAAACTCTCAGAAGATAAAAGTTCCACAAATGCAGAAAGCATCAACCAACAGCAGTTTCACAAACAGCGTATATAAAAGATGTCATAAAGTGAAGAAATTATGGGGAAAACAATTCAGACATTAGCATCAACGTTACCAACATGTAATTTCTGGATCCCAACATCAGAAGCAAATAGCAATATGAAAAATGAGCAAAAGGCCATGCAAAATAAATGGTTTTCTACATTAAACAAAGCAACCCCTCATGTAAGCAGGATGAAGAGGATTTACTTTTAATTGAATGTTCTTTCCTGTTCTTCACCATTTACAGAAAGGGGAAAATTTTCGCTAACCCAGGTTAAGATGGACTTTGTGACGCAAAAGGTGTAACATTTGCCACTGATATTATGAGCAAACAAGTTCCCATTACATGCACTCTCGGATGACGATCAAGTTGTTCATCAAAACAATTTGGGAAAAAAAAAAGACATAATCTTAGCTCTACCACAAAAGACATTCAAAACAGCACTCAGATTAGGAACAAAAGTAAGAATCGAAAAAATAATAAAAAGACAAAAACAAATAAGGTTAGCAAAAGCAATGAAGAAATTTAGCTCCAGCACAGAAGACACTGTGATAGCTATTCACCTTAGGAATTAAAATAACTGCAAAAACAGAGAAATTTCAAATTAGGAATAAAATAACTGTTCGTTCCATAACTCATCCAATGAGTTTTAAAGAGCCTATATGCAACTGCAAAAAATTGGGGAACATGATGGCTTACAGACCTAAAAACAAGCACATAAAATGAAGATAAAAACTTTCTTTTTAAAAAAATTAAAAAAAAAGGAGGAGAAACTTGGCGATCTAGTTTCAGGAAGACAAATCAAGATTGACCGCTCAACTCAACCATATGCAGAATTTTCTTGTTAATCTGTGTACTATGGATACAGGCGACTAATCATACTTCTTCCTTTTTTTTTTTTTTGGGAATGGTGAGCCAAAAGGATATGATTAAATGAGATCACTTTTTCAATCTTGTCTGGGTAAAGCATCACTTCGTAATGTGCTGGTAAAACTAAAGTCAAAAACAAAATACCCAAATATGATCTTCCATATGGATGAAAACTAACCAGCCTGGAGGCTGCTTTCTTTCCATTTTCATCACCACCCTCATAGACGTGTTTGAGAGCTGCAGGAAGGAACTTCCAAAATTCATTTACAAACTCACTGCCCTTGCGCCTACTATTTTGCAGAATATCATTGGCCAAATATAGAAATGAAACATGCTGCTCCCGAGGTGCAGATTTGAAAATCTTTTCCCATGTTTCAACAATTTGTTTAGCTTTCTTCCGGTGAGTAATGCACCAACGAGACAATGCTGAGCATGAGTTAAGAGAATATAGTGTAGTATAGACATAAACGTAATTTAAAAAAAAAAAAGCCAATAAACCAAGGTCTGACTGGTTCTGCTATTGAATTGTGCAGCAGTCATAAATAAATGTTCAACTGTATATTAAGATTCAGATTAATTCAACATACAGTTAATAACTATAAAAAAAATGATTAAACCAAAGAAAAGAAATGAACAAGTCCTTCAAATAAGCCTGCACATGGAAACTCATCATCAACAATAGTTGACCTTCTTTCCCTAGCCTCAGCAACAATAAATAGGTACATAGACCAATCATCTTAGCTTCTAGAATAAAAGTTAGAACAAATGTGTACCATTGCATCTATAATTGTCTTCCAAGCAGCATAACAAGGGCTCCAAACAAAAAATCACAAGGAAATAAATGTGTTTGCTATTTGAATATATGTATACACCTAAAATTAAAGGGGTTATAAACACTGAAGAAGGATACACTCAATGCTTTGCTGTGAACTGTTAAGTTTAGCCAACTTCTCAGCCAAAGTCTGCCCATTAAAGTCATCGTCGCTCATCCTTCCTAATAAGATGTTTTTTCTTTATAATCCTGGAGAGAAGAAAGATTGTTACCATAAAATCGAAAGTACAAATTGATAACAAGGAATATGTGGGAAACATGTAACTCTACATTGTTAAATCTCGAAGCATCTATGTAGCAGTTCAAAGGCATTAAGGGGAAATAAAATTCTAGTTTAGCAGTTTATGCAATTACTGATAACTATTTCCATCTCTTAAATATTCATGGAACTCTCAAAGAACTTCAAAGATTATAGGGCTAACTCATGGGGAAATTCAAACTCGCCAAGGAGCAATATGAAGCTCACCAGCATCATTAACTAGTTGAGGAAGTTCACCGACATAAAGTTCTATGGAGCTATGATTTCTGTTCATCTCAAGCATCTGTACCACAGTCTGGTCACTATACAACAATATAAGACCAACTTGAAAATCAGTACCACCTCTCTTGTAGTATAAAGGGAGTTAATCTTGAATATTCAGTTCCCTCAAACCCTAGCTCAGCTCAAATATCAACATTAAATCAGGTGTTGACATCCTCTCAAACACATCAACCCCCCCCCCTTCCGGGAAAAAAACATAATGTAGCGGTGGTTCCGGAACAAAAAAAAATGCCCTCCATGATGCACCTCTAACACATGTTTGGAAAGCCAAAGACATTATTCTGTTACAACTTACAAACAAGGATACAAGATACCATTTTAATCCAGCAGAAAACAACTCTAAATCATGAAACTTTACTCGAGTATCAGTAACGAGACATGCACAGAACAAAGAAACTCTAAACTGAACACCATACCTTGAAATACTGCATAGTAGACAACTTAAACAAATCATGGAGAAATGAAATAAAATGAAAAACATAAGTCAACACCCATCGTTTTCAGTAAACAATTTCACCAACACACGGCAGAAGATGACAACCGCCATTATGGCACTATGAAAACCAAAATCCCTCACTTTCACCACAAACTATAAGCTCAAAAGCATAGAATTTAATAAATCAATACTAAACCTCGTATTCAATTCCTAATTTCTTCTTCTAAAAACTTCAATTTCTTGGCTGCGATCCTCTCCAAAAGCTGAATCCGAGCCTTTCTTGCACTAGTCCCTTATCATTCCAACAGATTTAGGAGTTCTGTCGAGTCAGATTTGGGTTAGGGTTTGGCATGAAGAACGATAAGGAGAAACGGAAACGACCAGAGGAAGAAAGGGGCTTCTATATGTGTGTTTTTTAATCGTTGTTCTTTTTCTTTTCTTTTCTTTTCTTTCTTTTTTTTTTTTTTGGCTTTTTCCCCCTTATACTAAAAACCGCTCCTAACTTCACAGCTATGTTGCCCTTTTTGTCACGTCGGCACGGGAGCATGCAAAATCAAAAAATTTCGATATCGATTGTATTCGAGCTGTGGTTCTGTGGATTAAGGGTTGAGTGCTAAGTACTAACTTACAAAAGTCTTTGGACTTGGTAAAAAAAAAAAAATTATATTCGAGCTGAATTTGAAATTTTTGAAATTAATAATTTAAAATTTAAAATTTTTAAAATTGGTAATTTGAAATTTAGAATTGAAATCGAATTTTTTGATTTCGAATTATGTGAATTTGGCTCGAATTCGATAATGAGATTTTTCAAATTGCATTTTGGAATTCCTATTTTGATTTCAAATTCATTTTTCATATATATAATTTATATATATAATATAACATTTTATTATAATAATGATTTTTATATTCCTGAATTTGGTGATTCGGAATTTCTATTTGATTTCAAATTTGTTTTTCACATATATATTTTATATATATATATATATATAGAACGTTTATATTATAATAATAATTTTATATTTCTGAATTCGATGAAATAAGAATTTATCGAATTCTGAATTGAACTCGGAATGAATTCAAATTCGAAGTTGGTGAATTCGAAATTGAATTCAGTCGAAAATTTTGATGCTAAAATTTTGAAAATTTTCAATTTTAAAGTTCTGAATTACCGATTTCAATTCCGATTCACACCTCTACGTTGGCAGGATCAGTGGGAATTTTCCTATCCATACCAAGGGTATTTTCTACAATAGGCTTAATTACATGTTTTTCCCTTGTAATAATTAGTACAGGTGTAATCTACAACACTACTCGAACTGACACGAACTTGGCAAAAACTGTCTTAAAATACCAAATTAATCAATTAGCGGAAGGATCTATTTTGATCAGATTATGGATACAAAAGGACCTCAACTCATTGTTCACATGAACAACGAATCTCGTTATAAGAAATGGAACCTAATTCGATCAAGGAATTGCTCAAAAACGAATTAAAGTTAGTAGAAAGGCGCCACAATCAAACGTGTTCTCTGATTAATAAGTTGGATTGAACGCTCGAGATCAACTCTAAGATGTTCAAGGTCGCTTCAAAGAAGTCAAGAGAAAAACTCTCTCAATCACACATGAGTGTTTCTGAAAATTCGTCTACCCATCTTATTCCTTATTGAGCGAAAAAAGGATGCCTCTTTATAGGTTTACAAAGACTCAACTTAAAAACTTAAAAGAATAAGGAAACTAATGGAAAACTAAGCTAGCTGAATATAACTTCTCAACCTAGTAGATAATTAACTAAACAGCATAATCAACTAACCAACTAGCCAATCAAACTTAACAAATAATCAAGCTACTAAGTGGACCTATGCTCAACATGAGCTAATTAGACCAACAAATAACTTACTAAAACAGACTAAAACATATAAGAATCCGTGACCTTCAAGTGGGTTTTAAGCCACGATTAGGAAGCAAGTCTAGAATTTCGAATGGTTTGTTTTTAATTGTATTCATTGGACCTCCAACGAATCATTATTGGATCTAGAAATAGAACACGAACACCTCCTCGGATTCGTATCATTCCCCAAATCATTGGATTGCTTAAATTGCAACAATGATGGAAATACGTGAATGATTACGATCCTAGTCGCATGATGTTTAGACAACCTCTTGATGCTCACGAACTCAATTGGCGTAAGACTCAACTTTTGTTGGTAGCAACATGATAGAATCAGCAATCAGTTGTTCATATGAACAGGCAAACAATGAAGATTTCAAGGGTAAAGGAAGACTACTCAAATCCACTGACTGATTGAAACTGAAAAGCCGTGGATTGTAGCTGGTTTGGGATCCTCATATGCTACTGGAACAATCATAAAATCAGGTTGCACTCCTTTAATCATAGCTAAAAGTTCACGGACAACTTTACAACCTACATAAACAAAATAAACCTCAGCTTAATTTGAACTAGAAATTAAATATATAAGCAATGGAACATCATTAGTTAAGTGGCAAGAAGGTTTAGAACAAGATTTAAATGTTAAAACTCCCTTTGACATTTCATTATTCCTTCCATCAATTGATTCAACTAGATTAGTCATTGCTGGTTCGTCACACTGTCCATCAAAATTCACATAAGAAATACAAGAATTAGGACTGAAATTATGCTCAAAATAGGGTAAAGATGATGAATAACCAAAGTTAACAAACAAGAATCAAAATCCGGAATTCTCCCTTCATGATGAGTTCTAATTAATTCTCCATTGGTGCGGATAGATTTGAATTGAAATTGTTCCTTGAATTGACACTGAATAAATTTAACTCCTAGAAGACACACTCCATGGAAACCAGTGAATTATACAAGTGAGTTTGGAATGAAACATTGCATGACTAACTCCACTTGACTTCACTTAATCTGCACAAAAGAAAAAACACTAAATAAAGCAAAGGTAAGCTTGTTAGGAAAACAATAAGCTCTCAAATTCTCATTCAAAGTTAACTCGATTTTGCACTCATCTCATTAGAATTTTTCATCTCTTTTTCTAACTTAATACCCTCGGTTTTTATCTCATGTTCAAGTTCTACAACATTGCTCACACTCTCATATGTTACAACAATCACATACTTTCCTAACTAGTTCATGACTAGAATATAATGTGGATGTGGCCCCAAGATTTTCAAGCGCATGTTCATTGCTCGACTTCAATTCATTGCCAACCTCCTCAACAAATGGTTTAATGGAATGCGATGCTCCTTCATTAGGAATAGACTCAACTACCTCTTCCTTAGAAGACTCACAGTGATGGCATCTATTTGACTCCATTTATTTTTGTTATTCTTGATTTTGATGATCACAAAGCACTTTGAAATGTTTATCTAATTCTCTTCAAATATAAGTGTTTTGTTTTTTAGAGAATCAGGTACAAAGGTGTCAAGAAAAGAAAATCAACCAAACGAAAAAGGAAAAACAGGGCACTCATGTCGGACGTCGGAAAGGAAGCTATCGGACGTCCGAAAGGATGAAGAACATCAAGAAGGAAACTCTGTCGGACGCTCGTGAGGAAGCATCGTATGTCTGGGGGGATCGGACGCACGCTTCGGACACACATCGATCGCGACGGGCGTCCGAAAAATTTCGCAAAGTTCTGATGACTCTCTGACGACGTTCGGACGCAGAAACTGTCAGACAATAAAATCCCATCGAACGTCCGAACGACAACTTGGCTGATTTTCGGACGATGGGATCGGACGATGATTAAGCTGTTGGACGTCCGACAGCCCCAACGGCTAGTTGACTCTTCATCTACCTTCTATCTGTTGGAAACATTAATGAAACCCATTTTTTGTCCCCTTTAAATACAAACGATTCTGAACCAGGGAGTGACTTTTGCACACTTCGTTTACAAGATCTCAAGAGATATTTTAGCTAGAAAATAGTTTCCTAAGCAAGATTTGTTCTCCAAGTAATGTGAAGTTCTTGTAAACACTTCTCTTGTGTTTGAAATTTTCAATAGTATAGCTTTGTTGAGGGTTATCTGAGTGATAGTAAAACTTCCTAGTTTGACTAAGTGAGGCTTGGGGTAAGGAGGAAGTGATCCCTCCGTTGTACATTGAGTTGATTATTTTTCATCAAAGAGAATGTGTTCATCTTTGTGATTGGTCTTCAAGTTTGAGGAAAGCTTGGTAGACAATCGGTTTGATACTCTATCTTATTCTTTTTGTTTAATAAAATTCTCATTACTTATATACACTCTTATTTCTGATCAACATTGCTCTCTTCTTTAAATTTATTTGGTTGATCACTACTAGAAAAGAAGGTAAATTTTTATTAAAGAAAAAGTGCATAAACTCAATAAAGTATTTTTAATCAACCTAATTCACCCCCCTCTTAGGTTGTCTTTGGGCCTTACAATTTTTTACGTAGAAGACGTTGATATATCTCTCAAAATGACTCCCCATGAGATGGTTCAACTCTAAGTTAAGCCTAGAAGATATTGAATGAACTTTCTTATCACTCCTTGAATAAGTTGGTTTTGAAGAGATAGATTGCACAAAACTAAATCATGTAGAATCCCTCCTATTAAATTCCTTATTCTCTAATCAGTCAAGGACTCGAAAACCTCATGCAAAATTTGTTTAAGCTCACCCAGCATATTGTTCATGTTAAGATGAAATTCAGCTTATTGGAAACTCCTTACACATTGATTTGACATTTTGAGGTAACCTGCAAAAAAATGATTAGTGGAACAAAAGAAATTCCTCGCGTACTCCCTTAGTGTTTACACTCAACACTCATGTTTTCTGTGACGCTCTCACTTCTCTCAAGGGCAAATCCAAGGATATCCGCAGAACTCCTACTTAGCTCTCGCCAAAACTTGATACAAGTCAAATTTAAATTTAAATGTACACAATCAATAATAAAAGTCGAAATGTAGAAAAGTCGCTTCCTTAATGGAATATTCAAATTTTACATCATAAGTCACCAAAAGTACATCAACTTTTTCCAAAATGCAACCGCCAAGAGTCAACTAATTAATTACATTCCAAGATTCTAATCACAGTAATTAAGTCGGTTTCTTCAAAATTTTTTCCATTTCGAGCCTCTGTTAAGGAAAACAAACTAATGGGGTAAGTTGACGCTCAGTAAGACCAAGAAAACATGCAAATACATAGTTCACATAACCATGGCATTTGTACGAGAATTAAAACAAGAAATTTCAAGTAATTCACAAATAATAATAACACACATTCAATAAGGATACTGGAGCTCTCAGGAGTTAGATTCCACTTGTTTCGCCAAGACTCAATCAAATACTTCCCCGCGATGACACTCCGTCAACCGGGTAGATATTAAGTCCGCAGAACTCCGCTTACTCTTCTCTCCTGTTCACCGTTATACCCTCTGCTTCTGGCCTACACTTCTTTCATAAAAGGCACTACTCCATGAG